GATGAAGTCACAGGCGATTTTCAGCCAGTGCCGGTTCCCTTGTTTTATTTTATAGCATTTTCTTTGTTCTTCCTAACTTAGTATGAAAATTATCATACACATATAACAATTGTGTTGTTCACAATAGCAAGGAGATGGAAACAACCCAAGTGCCCATCAACAAATAAATGGATAGAGGAGTTTTGGTATATTCACACAGTGGAAGATTATGCAGCACTGAAAAACAAGGAACTCATTAAATATTAAATAAAATGGGTGACCCTGGAGGACGTTATGCTGAGTGAAATATCTCAGTCACAAAATGACAAATACTACATAATGACACTGTTCTAAAACAGGACTGACATCACAGTTGGGGGAAACTAAGAAAAGAAGGGATAAATATTTTATACTGTATGGAAACAGATGAGGGAGGGAACTTTTAAATTGAGTGTCTGATTGGGTATTATTTGTATGACAACAGTACAAAATAAGAACTGAATAATAAAGTGGACTTGGGGGAATTTTACAACAGTGAAAGAATTTTGGTTTGTTTGGGGTTTTTTTTCCAAGGAGAAAAGCAAACTGGATGGGGGTGGTCAGAGAGGAAAATGTGCAACAATGAATGAAAGGAAATTTTTTTTTAAAAAAAATGTTTAAAGAGCAACATGATGAACACTAATACACACTTCACCTAAGTTAACATTTTGTTATATTTGTTCTCCCCCTTCCCTGTATGTATTTATTTTTGTTTTCACTGAATGAATTGAGAGTAAATTACAGACATCATGAAACTTTACCCTTAAATACTTCAGTGTGCATTTCCTAAAAAGCAACCATAATATAACCATGCCAAAGAAAATTCCAAATAATCCCATATGGTCTAATATCTAGGCCATATTCCATTTTCCCCAGTTGTCCCAAGAATATTTTTATAGCTAGTTTTTATTGTTGTGGTTTGGTGTATTGTCTGGAGACAGAATCTGTCATAACATCAGTTGTGATAAGAAAGAAGGGAGATTTTGTAAAGGATTTTTGCCTCTATATATATGAGAGATATGGGTCTCTAGTTTTATTTCTTGCTCATATCTGCCTGGTTTTGATATTAGGGTTTTGCTTACTTCGTAGAATGACTCTGGGAATGTTCCTTCTTTTTTTATTTTTTAAAATAATTTAAGTAGAATTGGTGATACATCCTCTCTGAATATTTGGTAAAATTCAGCTGTGAAGCTATCTGGTCCAGGACTTTTCTTACAAGGAAGACTTTTTATGACCTGGTCAATTTCTTTATTTTGTGATGGTCTGTTCAAGTGTTCTAAATCTGTCCTTGTCAATGTGGGTTTCATTTCCTCTAGGTTTTAGAGTTTATCAGAGTATAACTTTTCATAGTATCCCAATATTATAAACTTAGTTTCATCTGGTTCGGTTGTTATGTCATCTCTATAATTTCTTAATCAAGTTATCTGTGTCTTCTCTTTTTTTTCCTTTTGTTAAGTTTGCCAGTGGTTTGTCAATTTTATTGACCCTTTTGAAACACTGCATGCAGGAGCAGTGATTTTATAAATTACTACCTAACTTGGGAGGGACTGGAGAGCATTATGCTAAGTAAACTCACTCAGTCCCATAAGGACAAATACTGTATGAGACTGTTATTGTAGAATAAATATGAGGGTCTAAGGGGCAGGGGAGGTGGTAATCATATGGTCAAACAATTTGATGGTGGGGGGTGAAGGAAATAGCAAAAATCTGGTGTGAAAAAAATGTATACAAACTTTGTAAATAAACCAGTTTAAAATTAAAAAAAAAAAAGAAGGGAGACATTTTTTAGAAAGACAAATTAATCTGAAAGTAGGCGGCTTTACTTCACTTCTACCCTTGTTTCTTCTGCCTGTGTGTGTTCCAGGCTGAGATTCTGACTGGCGTCCCAGTTGGCAGCCCTGCAGACGCTGGGAGGGCTGCACAGGTGCTGATGGAAAGGGGATGCCATGTGGTCATCGTCACTTTAGGTGCTGAAGGCTGTGTGATGCTGTCACAGACAGAGCGTGTCCCAAAGCACATCATCACAGAGAAGGTCAAGGCTGTAGACACCACGGTAAGCTCAAAGATTTAAGTATCCTTCGGGGCATTGCATATTATTCTTTAGTAACCAAGATGCAACATTTTAATTTTAGATTATATAAAGGCGTAGGAGGTAATAGAAGTAGAAGAGAACAACTGGGCGGGAGAATTGGATCTTAATCCCTTTCTAACTCACTGTCACCTTATGCAAATCACTTACATCACCCCTCTGAGTCTAAGTTTCTTCATCCGTAAGATCAAATTATCTGTAAATTATACCTGTACTGCTTATACTCATTCATTCATTCAGTAAGTATTTCCTGAACATCTGTTAAGTGCCAGTTATGTCGAGGTGCTGGAGATAAGGTAAGATAGAATCTCTGCTGCCATGTGGCCCCTGTGTATCAGAGTAGAACTCCACCCCATAAGCTCTTCAAGACTATAACCTTTCAGATGCAGAATCCCAAGCTTTCCTTCAAAGATCCTCTGGGAGGGTTTGAACTGTGAACCTTTCAGTTAGTAGTTGAGCAGTTAACCATGTGCACCTCCTAAATTAAAATCCACCAGCTGCTCCACAAGAGAAAGATGAGCAGTCTCCTCCTGTGCAACTTGGGCTTTTTAACTATAAATGTAACCCTATTCTTCCTCAAATTTTCATTCCCAGCATAATAGTAGGTCATATATAGTAAGAGTAGACATCATGCTTGGAAGGGTGGAGGACAACGCAGGAGAGCGAGACTCTGGATGAGATGGATTGATACTATAACTGGGGCAATGGGGGTTGGTGTGTTAGAATTAGTGAGACTGGCTCAGGAGAGGGCAGGGCTCAGAGCTACTATATATATATATGGTTGCTATCAGTCACATGCAACTCGATGGCATGTAACAACACAACAACGGTAATAGATCAGTTAATACTTGGGACCAAGAGATGGAGAATTATATCAGAAAGGATCCAAGCACTAGACAAGTAGAAACACTCACTCAATCCCTCTTCTTGTGTGTGTGTGTGTGTGTGTGTGTGTGTGTGTGCGCGCGCAAGAGAGAGAGAGAGGCAAATAAGTAATTATTTTATTATGCCATCTTATGCATTTGTTCCCATTCCAAAGAAAGGTGACCCAACTGAGTGTGGAAACTACAGAACAGTGTCATTGATTTCACATGCAAGCAAGATTCTACTGAAGATCATCCAAAAACGATTAGAACAGCACATCAGCAGAGAACTGCCGGAAGTCCAGGCTGGGTTTAGAAGGGGTCGTGGTACTAGGGATATTGTTGCTGATGTTAGATGGATCTTGGCTGAAAGCAGAAAATACCAGAAGAATGTCTATCTGTGTTTCATTGATTATGCAAAGGCGTTTGACTGCGTGGATCATAACAAACTGTGGCTGACTCTGAGAAGAATGGGAATCCCAGAACATTTAATTGTGCTAATATGAAACCTATACTTGGACCAAGAGGCAGTAGTCAGAACAGAGCAGGGTAACTCTGCATGGTTCAAAATTGGGAAGGGTGTACGCCAGGGATGCATTCTGTCTCCATACCTTTTCAACATGTATGCAGAGCAGATTATCCGAGAGGCTGGGCTCTATGAGGAGAATTGTGGCATCAGGATTGGTGGAAGATCTATTAACAATCTCCGTTATGCAGATGACACAACCCTGCTTGCTGAAACTGAGGAGGACCTCATGCACTTGCTGCGAAGGGTCAAGGACTGCAGCCTTCAGTATGGACTGAGGCTCAATGTCAAGAAGACAAAGATTCTCGCCACTGGACCAATTGGCAGCGTCAGGATGGATGACGAAGAGATTGAGAGTGTTCACAGCTTCAGTTTGCTCGGCTCCACGGTCAACACTCTTGGCACCAGCAGTCAGGAAATCAAAAAGCGTATCGCGATGGGAAAGTCTGCTGTTAGGGACCTCTCTAAGGTACTCAGGAGCAACAGTGTCTCTCTGGAGAGTAAGGTGCGCCTGATACAGGCCATGGTATTTACAATCGCTTGTTATGCATCAGAGAGTTGGACAATGACTAGGGAGGACAGAAGGAGAGTGGATGCTTTTGAACTGTGGTGCTGTAGAAGGGTACTGAATGTACCATGGACTGCCAGGAAAACAGATTCATCTTGGAGAGGATTAAACCAAGCTACTCCTTGGAGGCAAGGATTCTGGGGCTTCGTCTGACATACTTTGGACATGTTGCCAGGAGGGACGGGTCCTTGGAGAGGGACATCATGCTTGGGAGGGTGGAGGGACAGCGCAGGAGGGGAAGACCCTCTATGAGATGGATTGATTCGGTGACTGGGGTAATCGGGATGGGTGTGTCAGAGGCGGTGTGGTTGGCGCAGCATAGAGCAGGGTTTAGGGCTGTTGTGCATAGGGTCGCTATGAGTCGGAAACGACTCGACGGCACATAACAACAACAACAACATCACAACTATTCATTTCTATCACAATAGCAGGGAAGCTGCCATAGACAATACATAAACAAATGTGTGTGACTGTAATCCATATAACTTTAGTTACAAAAACAGCTCAGGCCAGTTTTGGTCCATGAACTAAAGTTTCCCTACCCCTACACTCTAGATATCTCAACTGCCTTCTAATGCAAAGTTTCTGAATTTCTGTATCCCATCCTCACTGATCTAAATGGATTTTTAACAAGGGCAACAGGGTTTTTTTATTGCTAATATAAGAGTTTAGGGTGCTCTGGTAACTTCGTCCCTAGGGAGTTGTTCTGTGAAAACGAAGGCAGCACCTCTCTGGCAGTATGACTCCACCACTCCACGGGGGAAATGGTCATTCTCCTCCTGTGTGAGTTAGAGCCCTTACAATCCATAGGAGGATTCGCTATGAGTCAGTTCTAACTTGATTCTCAGGAGTCAGTGTTGAGCCAACCTTTTGGGCAGTGTTTCCTTCCAGTGTATATTCCAATATATACATGTGCAAGAAAGGGAGACCCTGGATGAGATGGACTGATTCCGTGGGGTAATGGGGTGGGGGTGTCAGAGACAATAAGATTGGCACAGGACAGAGCAAGGTTTAGGGCTGTTGTACATAGGGTCACTATGAGTCACAGGCAACTAAATGGCACATAACAATAACATTAGTTGGAACACATTCCATGGCACCTTCCATCAGTAATAGTAAGAATTCACCTGAAAATTAGAGCTAACAGAAGAAGCAAATCAACAAACTTCAAGGCTAATTGGGATTATCCAGTCTGAGAAACAAAAAGAACTTTAAAAAAATTTAACAGAAGCTTAAAGACCAGAGGGACACCATCAGTCTTACCAGCCTACATAGCACTAGAGTCCAGAGAAAGAGAAGAGGTAAAGAAGCAGAGGGAATGGCTGGAGAAATAGTGTTCAAGAATTTTTCCAAATTTAATTTAAAGTCCTAGCATATTCAACACATTCCAAGCAGGGTAAACTCAAGGAGTTGTTGTTAGTGCTCTCGAGTCAACTGATACATAACAACGCTGTGAACAACAGAATCTGTCACACTAAAGCCCATTTGGTACTCACTGATCCTCACCTACATGCGTAATAGGCAAAAGACAAAAATAATCTTGAAAGCAACCAGACAGAAGCAACTCATCACATGCAAGAAATCCTTAATAAGATTAACAGTTGAAGAGGGGCATGATGGGTAGGGAGAAACCACAGGGTTGCACAGTTTGATGGTGGAGGGAGAGGGTGAAGGAAATGGGAAGGATCCAGCAGGGGCCTGAAAAGATTGGGTAATGATAGGCACAGTCCAATGGTGATTGATTTTATAAAACATAAAGCATAGGAATGGTTGTAAGAAACAAAATGAATGAAAATAGTGTGAAACGCAGTGTACTTTGTGAGCAAATCAATATAAAATAAAATAATAATTTTAAAAATGTATTAATAGCTGATTTATTACCAGAAACTATTCAGGGCCAAAGATGGTAGGATGTCATACTCAAAATACTCAGAGAACACAGATTTTTAATAGTTCTTTTATTCAGTTGTCTTTTAAATAGATCAGTGGTGATTAATTTTATAAAACATAATATATGGGAATGATTGTATGAAACACAATGTATATGAATTTTCGATGCAAACCAATACGAAATTTTAAAAAATATTTTTAAAAGTTACAAAAATAAAAAAATAATTTTAAAACCAATAATTGTATATCCAGCAAAACTGTCTTTAAAATGAAGTAGGAAGTAAGATAGTTACAGATAAAATTAGAATTCCTCACTAACAAGACTCACAATAATACTAAAGGGAGTCCTTTTGGTTGAAAGGACCCTAGACAGTAACAATAACTGACATGAAGAAATAATCAGCACCATAGAGTTAGCTACGCCGCTGAATATGTAGTTTCTAGGTCTTTTTCTTCTATTGTATTTAAAAGAGAACTTCACAAAGCAATAATTAGAATTCTGTGTTGATGAGCACACAATGTAAAAGGTATAATTTAAGTGGCAATAACAGCAAAAAAGGGGAGCAAAGGAATGAAGCTACATAGGAACAAAGTTGTAATATTCTATTGAAAGTCCGTTTGTATTAACCCATATTGTTGTTATGTGCTCTCAGATTCATAGCTAATGATGGAAAAGACCATGGCCTGATTGAAGCACACATCACTGCTCATTTGTATCTTGGAAAGGTCCTTGACAGCATACTGTCCCAATGCAAAATGTTTTTTATTTCCTGACTGCTAGTACCAAGGGTGTTGATTGTGGCTCTGAGTAAGATGAAATTGGTGACAACTTCTTTGTTGTTTTTTTGTTTTGGTTTGTTTTGTTTTATTAAACTCATACTGAACAATGAGTTCTGGATTGCAAAAGAGGATATATTTTTACACCTGTTTGAATCTTTGTCCACTAATTAGACAAACACAGTGCTAAACAACTTCAGTCTTTTCTCCATTTATCATGATGCTGCTATTGGCCTAGAGCTGGTGGTGGTGTTGGTGTTGGTGGTGTTATGTGCCGTCAAGTCACCTGCAATTCATCGCAACCCTATGTACAATGGCTCTGAATACTGCCCTATCCTGA